CTTGTCTCATAAAAAATAATAACATTTTATATTTTTCAAGGAATGACAAAGTTAAAAAACAGAATTTTATTCATTGTCAATCAAGTAAGGACGAGGCAAATTGAATCCAAACTTTATAAAATCTAGGGAGAAATAAATTATGGAGTAATTTGGAAAACCCATTTTTCTTTCCCTTTTCTTGTTTCTTCTTAACTTAAATAGTGGAACACAGAAGGCCTCACGAGCCACCAAAATGGAAGTTAGGCTCAGGCCCATCTCACAATTTATTTAGTTTATCAAAATTAGTAACTACAAACAGGCCCACTCTCCACCACGGGCGCGAATTCAACTGGCATCCCATGCGCACCTCCTGAATTCAGATGCCATCCGAAGTTCAAAAAAACCCGGTGATTTATATTTAGCTCCAGACCTCTGCAATCTTCTACAGTTCAGTTCTTTTTGGCTTTGTCTCTCAAAACCATTCTGCTCATTCTTTTCTTCTTTTGGCTATGTCTTTATTCTTCTCTTCCTTTGTCACCCATTGCAGTTTCTTCAACACAGGTTGGAGAATTTAGACAGGATCCGCTACTTGGGGTTTTCAGGGGTTTTTGTCTGAGGAGAAAGAAAGAATCATCAAGATTATGGAATCGGTAACCTCATCAGGGTTCAATAGAGCTGTTGAAACAATGGAAACCCTACTTGGTTCCTTTGTCAAAGAAGTCGAGATGGGAACGGGGGGACAATCTCTCGATGTCCCTGTTTCTGCATTCCCTTTCCTAGGGCTAGGAGGAAACAAATCTGAGTTATTTGAGTTTCTGGGTGTCACCAAGGAAGACATAGAGAACCTACTTTACTTTATTGAGAAAGTCCGTGAGGAAGCCATGAATAAAGCGGGAGAATTTGTCAATGGCGTTCACCCTTTTGCTCAATTCCCTTGGATCAAGAAATCTATTGACTTGATGGGTCTTAATATGATGGATATTTATGGCGGCCTTACCCTAGTTGATTACTTTAAGGAGGCCAATCAGGAATTCATGAAGAAACAGAAACTATATTCTGTCTACTGCCCAACTGTTCCAGCATTCCCAGTTCTGGGTTTTTCTATTCCCAGGAAACAGAGGTCCAACAGAAGGACAGAGAAACAATGTTCTACCAGTTGCCCTGTTCTGCCCTTCTCAGTTTTGTTTCTTTCCGTGCCCAGGAAACAGAGGTCTAACCGAGGGAAACCCCTGATAATCACTACTGGTACTGGTTTTCTCAAAAAATTTGGAGCCCCTGTTCTTAAAGATTTTGAAACGAGATTCTCTAATGCTAAGCTTGTAGAACGCGAGAGGAACAAGAGTGAGAAACGCTGCCGTGAGAGTGAAGAAGGTGAAGAGGAAAAGCTGAATAAAACAAAGAGACAGAAGGATGGAAAGATGCAGAATAACAAGGTAATGGCGCAACTTGCTGAATGGGGTTTGGTGCCTCCACCAAACATGCCACCTGAATTCAAGAATTTGATTGAAGAGATGGGTGGTTCTGAAGAGAAGTTGCTGATACAGAAGATCCTATTCAAAACAGACCTTAGCAAGTCCCACAACCGTTTGCAAATTCCAGAGAATCAGGTGATGGCAGATTTTCTTACAGAGGAGGAAGAAAGAAAGCTGGATGAAAAGGGGCTGAATGTTGAGCTGATAGAACCGTGTCTGAAGAAATAAAAAATCCACCTGACCAAGTGGAATATGAAAAATTCCAGAATGTTTGTGTTTAATGAGCAGTGGCATTCAGTGGTGGATGGAAATCAGTGCACATTGAAGAAGAATGCAGTGGTGCAAATTTGGTCATTCCGGACAGCCCCCAAATCAGAGCTCTGTTTTGCCATGGTCAAGATTAAAGATGGAGATGATTATTGAGGTCAGATTACATATCCTTGGAAGTGGGAAATTTTTTTGGTAATTTTTATTGTTAGAAGAGTCAGTTATGGTAACCTTTTAGATGATTTTTTTTTTGAACAGTACCTGAAAACCTTTTAGATGATTAAGGTCAGAGTATTTGTTTGGGGGGGGAGGGGAAACATTTGTCTTTTTTTTTTTTAATTTTTAATTTTTTTGTTTTTCCAATTCTTTTGGTCTTATGATATGACCCTAACATGATCAGAGTAACCTTTTTGAAGTGGGCGATGCTTTAGTTTATTCGGCTTACAAAGATGAATCTCATCTCTGCTGTTTGGTTACTTTAACCTTTTGTAACCTGGGGGCAACACATATTTTGTGAATTTTTTGAGGTCAATATCAAGAGTTGTACTTACATTTTTTTAGAATGATCATTATAGTCCTTGTAGTTTATTTTTTTGTTTATTTTGATTTTAATGGAAAGAAGTCATCTTCTCAGCTTCATATCATAGTTGTCACAATCCTATCCCTCAACTTAAACAGCTAGCAAAAGTAATGGTAAAAAGATCATGTATTTTTTTACCTTGTACCCTGCCTTCCTTATGAAGTGCATAAATTCAATCCTAAATATTTGCTGCAATTCTAGAAAGATATAAGTGGGGTAAAATAAGGAGATTAGCTTATGTGATACAAGTTTTACAAAAATATACTTTCGAGTAAAAATAACAAAAGGGGCTAATTTGTTTGCAACGCTGTAGCTTTATTGTTGATTTAACAATAAATATGGCTGAAACGAGTAAGCATTTTCTTTTCTGAATGTGCTAGTGGTGAAGTTTGTGGGAGTAAAAAATGTAACACCTGGCGTTTTATGACTTGTTGGAACATATCTCTTCTCTCCCTGTTTCCGGTTCAGTCCGACCTAAATATTATATTATTGAGTCATGCCCATTTAGTCCAACATTTTTTTAAATCAAAATTGACTAGATTCATTAATAATCAAAGAATTACAATAGAAATCCCAATAAAAGAGGGCCCATATCAAACCAAATCTAACTTAGAGCACTAATAAATAACGGATGATTATGCCCATGACAAATCTAAAGAATGCAAAAAAGAAAAAAAGAAAAATGTTGAGTTGAACTCAAGATTGACATGCCCCATTTCAGAGTTCCAAACACCCCATGACGTGAGCAAAATTACCAACTTCCATACTCAACTTCAAGTCATCCAATTCTAAACTTACAATAAGCAAGTCAATCAAAAACTAATCTCTCAGTCGCTGCAAAATCCTATCTCCAAGGCAAAATTTGAGGCACTAGCAATAAGCTATCATTTGCTGTCCTTGTCTGCCCCTGCAATGTTTTTATCTCTGCGTGGTCTCTTCCTTCTCCTGCTCCTTCTCACAATATGGTCACCTTCTTTAGATTCCTAAAGAGAAGTGTTGAATCATGTGAATATAAGAATTTATTTCCATCATATTTACATTAAATTTCTTGAGCCATGTCATGTGACTGAAACTTCCATACTACCATAGATCACATAACATATTAAAAGAAAACGATATGCACATGTTCTCTTTTGCCACACCCAACACAAGCTTTCAGATCTCAAGCTCCATTACAACAAGAAAAAGAAACATTAAAGGAAAACAAGAAAACATGTGCTATTTTAAAGTCTTTTAATCAGCCTGGCTACTGTTACTAATGTTGGCCCTTGACAGTCAACAAATATGGCAGGATGTCAACCATAACCAGAATATTCAGAATCCTATTGGAGTCTTCAAGATTTATGCAACATGTGCCATTTTTGTTCTACAAATCTATCCATTCAAGCTATTCGTGCAAGGATTATTACAAATCAGTATATTTCACCATATACAGACAATTCAGTGTCACCAGAGTTACAAGACGTGAATCTTAAAAGTAGGGGG